ATGATTTTTTAGGCCAGTGGTGACTAATGGGATATTCAATCTTTCAGCGAATTATGATCAGTATATGTAGTGATTGGGACACTTCATGGTTTAACCGCCCACGAACAGCAATCTCTGTACTAGATTTCACAAAAAGGTTGCTAAGATATTTTAGTTTAGATCAAAAGTGGAGGACTGACTAACGTTTTTGTTACACACCTATAGTAGTATGGCTATAACATGTCAGGTCTCTCTGATGGACAAACTTTGTCAAACCGGGTGTTGGAAGTGATGCCAGAAGCAGGTGGTAGAAATCAAAAGGCAACTTTAAATCCAGAAAACTGGTTCAAAAGGTAGCAAAAGTCCAGATGAATGAAACAACAACACTAGTTTACTGGCAAACATCAGCCAAAAAATATCCAAAAGGCAACCAAAGCACAGGAACAGACTGAGGCAAGAGATAAAATAACACATCAGGGTTCAAAAAAACAAAACGCACAAACCAAAGTCAGACGAGGAATGTGAGTAAAACCAGGCAGGTCAACACGAGGGAAACAAACTGAAAGATTAAACAGGACAAACTGGCAAAAACAAAAAGAAAGACAAGACTATTTGTACACTGATAGTGATAGGGAGGTCGAGACACGGGTGAAACTCATCAGGGCGATCAAAAGAGGAGGGACAAACAGACAAAGGAAGGAAGTCAAGACACAGGCAACACATAAGGACAGACAATATCAAAATAAAACAGAATGTAAACAGATAAAATCTAAACACAATGACAAGCTATGTTGTTGAATTACAATTTCAAAGGTATAACAGTATTTGCATACATGTAAACCTGCTGCTTCCCATGTCTGACTTCGATATTATCTCACACGAGTGGCATGAAGCTAAAAAATCTGTTTTAGAGAAGGTATAAATCCCTACAAAATGTTATTAGTTCACATAATAGACACTCTTATAAGTATATTTGGTAACCAATTATAATATTATTCATTAGATAAATTAATTAAACAGCCCTCGGGCCCTTCAAAGTTGCAGAGGAACGCTTGCACAGAGTGTGTGACATCTGCAGCCTTCCAAGGGCCAGACTGCTCTCCCCTTTGATCCGGTTTCATTATGCAGCTTTAGACTTGACCCATCATGAAAGCTGAGACGAGCTGCGTTCCAACCTCCGAAATTATAAACACAGACATGTCTTCAGACAGCCGGTTGAGGGAAAAAATTAATAATTAGGGGCACTTCTTTGAGGAAAAATACTGTCCTATCTTTTCCTGGTTGGTTAACAAACACTTTGGTGGTCATTATTGGCCCAAATTATGTTTTGTTCCTCCCTGATGACGGTTTTCCCTGGAAGCTGTCGACTTTTAATCAGCGCTTCCCATATCCCCTCCTCACTAATCCCTCTCTCTCATTAACCTTATTTTATGGCTTTTTTTTCCTCCTCTCCCCACATGTAGGTTTTATATTACAAACATCTTCATTATAAATGTGTGATAAGGTGGATTTTCTTCTTTCTTCTTCTTTTCTGTTCAAATCAACTATTTTTACGTCGAGTGTACTGTTAATGAAAATTTGCTTTGAAGTGAAAATCACACTCTTTCCATGGATTTATGGTCATTTTGCACTTTATAGGCAGTCATTAATAAAGTAGTCGGAGTTCTGCAGTTCTTTAACAATATTACACAACGCCTTGGGCTGACACATTTCTTTGGGTTTCTTAAGTGGAAAGTGTTATATTAAATTACATGCAGTAAAGTCTGCATTTCTTGCTCACAACCTCTCTCCCGAGACTGAAAAATGGGGCTATTTTAAAGTAAACAATGTGTTCCAGGAAACATGTAATTCAGCACTTACTATTATATATTTCTGCTTGACAGGGAAAAAAGGCAGCACCTACTTAAAAACTCTGCTCCTCCACAATCTTTAAACAGCTTAAACTGACTGTTTTTCTGAAGGAACGTTTCCTTTTTTTTTTTTTTTATCGTAGAATTTCAGCTGACACGTAAAGCTGACACCGACCTGTGACCCTGCGTGCCACTTTTCACGGTAAAGCTACAGCGCTTTATCTCGGATAATTCATTCCTTTTAGCTGTAACGCCCTAATCTGAATATCAGCTTTTTTTTTTTGCTGCACGTCACCCAGAGAAAGAGCGAGAGTTCAGGCGGCAGTGGTCACCTTGAAATGACAAGCTTTCCCACCAGAATACGGCAGCGGCATTGTTGCATGCCTCACAATCTTAAGTCCTCTCCTCTCCCTCCATCCGGTGTCTCTCTCCTCGTAACCTTTGGCTTTGATTCTGTGCTGCTCTCTCCTTCCTCCCGTCACATCCTCAGACTCTTGTCATGTTCTCATTGCCCTCTACTCCCTTGTCGTCGCTCTCCTCTCTCTCTCTCTCCCCCTCATTCCCTATCTCAGAGTGTCTTGTGTGGTGCTGCAGGGCTCTCTTGGCTGATGTAATTTATGCTATCTATTTTGCTAGTGTGAGAAGAGAGCGTCCTGAAGCCAGTGCTCTTCATGCAGAGTGCTCCTGTGGGAGGCTGTGAGCCAGCGTCGGCTGAGCTACCCCCTTTTTCCCTTTCACCGCCCGTCCGAGCACAATGCAATGGCCGTGGAAAAAGATGCTCAATTTGCATGGCGGTGTGGCATAATTAAAAATACCACATTGTAGCTGTTAGCTGTAAAGGAAATTGGACGCGTTGTCAACACAGGTATTGGTTCTGTAGCCATTCATTGCACCGAATGTCAGCTTAAGTGAAGATTCTGTTCGCGGCGTGCGGACGGGAAAGCGTTTGCTTAGATCTCATAAGTCAAATCCATCAGGAGTCCATAGACAGATTGGACTTTTACCAGCAGTAAACACTTCACACTGGTTTTTTGGAGCAGGAAAAGATTTGATGTTGACTAAATGTTTATGTGTGGTTGCAGGACTGTAATCCATTTCTATGACAACAGAGAAGGGTTTGGCTGGGGAAATGAAGACCGCGATGGAGGGAGATGCCAGGAGAACCAATCAGGTGGGAGCACTGTGGAACTCGAAGCAGCTGTAGATCATTTTACTCAGGCCTCTCAATCACTCAGGGGCCTTCCGGCTCTTCTGTTTGATATGCAAGGCAGCTAGCCCGTCCTGCCTGTGCCAGCAACTTAACATCTTAGATCAGCAGCTCACACATCGTGCATTTGATGATTGCCTCCTGTGATCAAACATTTTTTGGGTTTAAATCATTTTAATAAAACAAGTACATAATTCCTCTTTAGACTCTCAAGTCAAACGCTTTAAATGAAAGACAAAGTACAGGGATTTTCATGCGCACCTACTCAGAGGAAGGATTTTTTTTCTCTCTCCAGGTTCCAGAGGACCATGGGGATATGGATGATAGCTCAGAAAAGACCCCCAGCAAAGCCTCCAAATCCCCACAGAAAAGCAACAAGCGGCCCAAGACCGTCCCCGTCAAAGTCAATCTGCTCGATGGCTCCGACTACGACACTGCAGTCGAGGTATGCTGCTCACTTTTTTTTTGTCGGTGAGATTTGGTAGAAAATGGAAAACCGGACTGGTCAATCCTTGAAAAAGACTTTGGTTATGAATGTGCGTTTAAAAAATGATTACATTCTGACTATTTTCATGGGTTTGTACATCCAGCAAATGCCCCAATTGTGGACAGTTTTCTAATTAAATAAGGAATTATTTCTAACATTTTTATGTGCATTTTCAGCCTGTCATTGAGCCAACCTGAATGGATCCAGGAATTCTATTTCAAATATTTCTGCTTGCCGTGGCTCAGTGTATCAAGAAAACTGCATTTTTTTGAAGTTTCTTTCTATGAAAATAATCCTTTCATATCTTGAAATACCTTATCTATTTCTCTACATCGGTACATCAGTGCAGTCTCTGCCTCTCTTCTTAAGCCAGCTCCAGCTCACTAGATAACTAGATGCTCAAATAGGCCTGCTGTAAAAGCACTCTGTACCACATAATAGTAAGTTGTAGTATTGGAGTAATTCAGCCATACATGCTCAAACTAGAAACCAATTCTGAAGAAGACTAATGATACAGGAAGCTCTGCCCCACAACAGACAGGATTGGTTCCTTCGGTTTGTCATGTGTGAAACCCTAGAAGTCTAAAACTGTGTTTTTGATGCTGTCATTGGTACACTTCAGTTTCAAGGTGAGAATGCTCAGCCATGACACTGACTGCTTATTTCACTCACGATAGTTGGCTAGTAAATAAAGTCCTTCATAACTGAAGCTCACATAGTTTAAAAAAAATCTTGTTCATGAGCTGTACAGTAAGCATCTGACTCACACATCACTTGAGCTTCCCTTCACTGAACAGATGACACAGATAAAAAAAAGATAACATCAGATCTGTGAGCAGCCACGAGGAGATTGTAAATTATGCGATCTTATTGCTCATTCCTCTTCTGTAATGGTGGTGATGGCACCAGACTGGACATTTAGAGCCACCAAAGGTTTATTTTCATGATTCAATTCATATTTAAACAACGAGCTATGTTCAGTTTTTAATTGTTCTGAAACAACAGTTGATAAAAACACACATTAAGTTGCTTTTCTGCAGGTCTTCTGGAGATTTGCGTTGCATAGATTAGAAAGAGATTTTTGACCGCTTCAACTTGCCTTAAAAAGTGGATTTTATATTTGGACTAAACTGTTGGTGTCGCTTGTGGACTTGATCCTCGAGTCAATTTTGTACTGTATCAGTCTTGTCCCTCCTATTCGGACATTTCTGATTCTGATGCTGATTTCAGTCGTTGATCAGCTAATAAAATGTGTTACAAGAATAATGTCAAAAATCTTGAGAAAACACTGATAGACTATAAAATAAAAACAAAAGAACAAACTAATTTGTCAGAGCTTTTATTGACTTCAATAGAAACAACCTTTCTCTACTGCAATATGTTACGTTTTTGTTATTTTCTACCTAAATCACATCATTTTCTCTTAATCTGTACTAATTTAGTGAGAGTTTGTACTCTCCTTAATCGGGCCTAGATCCTGCCTGACTGTACAGATATCACTGTTTTCTGTTTTCATTATCATAACCGATATAAATGATAGCCAAAACCACGGAAAGAAAATCTGTCCTTCAAAGCTGTTTCAGGCTTCACAGCCAAACACGCGCCTTCCTGTCGTAGCCATCCTTATGTAATTGCTTCACCATTAGTAATTCTGCAATCATGCAGAAACATAATTAGAAAAAACGAATTCAAGAGGTTGTTTTGCAATTCTGTTAGAGCACAGTTTGGCTCTTTCTCAGTGCTAAAATGCCCACGTGCTTCAGATTTCTGTTTTGCTTTGCAGGGTAATTTAAAAAAAAAAAAAAAAGCATTTTAAGAAGCTGGTGTGCATCTCCCCTATTTGAACAGAGCCCTTGACTCAGCATACCACACCACAGTGCACCTCTGTGGGATTTAGCCTCCCCTGGTAATACATACCACTGAGTCAGGAAATGCAGCCCGGTTGCTATTCTTACTGAGAGGAGGAAGTGACAGGTGGAGAGAGGTGAAACGAGCCCTGCACCGTGGCGGACGGAAGGAAACCTCGGCTTCCACAAGATCGTGACTCTTCAGCTTTTTGTGCTCGTAAACAGACGGTTGTGGCTCCCCGCTGCTCCTTGTTTGTTTGAATTCCGCGTTAACCCACACACTCATCAGGAGCAAGTGCTGCAGAAAATTAATCTGCTCCTTGAAATGACTCCTGAGCGGTGTCGGGGAGGGCGTTCAGATGCAGGGGTACAGAGCTGCATTGATTCACATGGAAACCAACCCTGCAGCCCCATTGGCCGCCGCCGCTGATGGAGTGTGATGCGGCTGGGAATGAGCTTGTTGGCCCTTCAGCCTCATTCATGTCAACTATATTCCTTTTATGGCTTACTGCCTCCCACCTGACCTCGCATATTTTACCTTACAAGAGCCGGCGAGAGGGAGAAATATGTCGGGAGTCACGCACACACTCGTGCGTTTCCCTTCAACTCAATCCCCCCTCGTCTTTCCTTAGTTACATGCATGCATACACACACACACACACACACATTTCTTCAGGTCATCTGGGCAGTGTCACTGGAGGTAGTGGGCTTTGACAGGAAATCCATACGCTTGACAGATGAGTGCTCTTATGTTTGACCGGGGAGAAAATAGAACGGGAGAAGGAAGGAGGAGGAAAAGATGAAGAGTGGGGTAGAGAGAAAGATGGAGAGGAGGTGGATACTGGGATTGCTTGTTTGTGCACTGTAGTATGAACTGGAGTGCGTATATCAGCGTGCTCGCAGTGGATAAAAGGCAAGCAGGGACAGGATGATGAATGCCGTAAACTCATTTGTTTCATTAGAGTCATGATGTCCACCGAGCGCACGGTCCCAGATGATACAGTAAAGGGAAGCAGCCTGAACCTCCTATTGACGTTTGGCTTCCAACATTATAGGTATTGACCGAGCTCAGTGCATTTAGGTTGTCCAATCCGTTACCTAGAGCCATGCTATTAAAGCAAGAACTACACCACCTGCTTGTAGTACATCCCTGCCTTCAACCTCACAAGGAAAACCCTTACTTTTATTAAAAAAAAAAAACATCTTGAATGAAGCATCTGGCTTCTTAAATACAATCCTGAGGAGACCATTATAACCCCGTTTTAACTACTTAAACTTTGGCTGAACGGAATTTTCTCCGCAGGTCCAACCCATGAAATGCTAATGTTCATTTTCACGGTTCATACATTTTTACTGGTTAACCGCATGAGCTTGCGAGTTTCCACTTTTATTAGAGAGGCAGAGCTGTTTGTGCAATACGTTGCTGTAGTCAATGCGCTCTGTGCTACTGATAATCCAGGACTCAGCTGCTGATGCCAACCAGATGCGCTATTAAAAAAAGGTGCCTTATTCAGGCGGTAGAAATAATTAAGAAGCGCTTTCGTGCCCTCATCGCCAACCCGTCCTGTGGTGCCATTGTTGACATGTGTTTCTTTTTTACACCAGCAGAAGTCACACTAAACTGTGATCCAAACCAAATCAGCTCTGTAGCTTCTTCTACAAAGCTTTTACAAGGAGATGGATGCAGCAGCAGAAACAATAATGTAGTTAAAAAAAAAAAAAAAAAAAACAGCTATGAAGGACAAAAGCATTAAAGTCCAGTCCACACATTCAAAGTGTCTTTTTGGAGTAAAACCACCACTTCACTGAATTTGAGGTTCATGTGCTCGTGTAAGTTTACTAGTTAAAACCAAATGAAAGATTCATGACACTAGGACCGAGCTGTTCCTCCTTTATAAATACGATAAAATCAGTTTATCTACAGTGTATTCTGCATCATTTCTTCCCATTATTACTGCACTCATCATAAAATGCGTCCCTGCGTAACCTCTCTGCTTCCTTCCCTCTGGGGAGGTTGGAGTCTGCAGAGCCTGTGAAGATTCAGATGTGCTCAATGTTTTGATCAAGGCCACTTAGGGATGTACATTTTGCTAATACTCGAGCTCCACCTGTCTGATTGAGGGGCCAGTTTTTACAACTAAGGGGGAAGATGAAGAAAAAGAAATGAAAATATGAACGAATGACTTGACAACAAAGAAATGAACAACCCTAAATTAGCCTTTTAATGCAAGTGTTACATAACAAAAAGAAAGAAATAGCTTCATAGAATGTATATATGTGTGTGTGCTGTGTGATAGTTATTTGTTAACTTTTTTGCTTATGGTAAAGAAAACGGAGGCTATGTTCACGCTGATACGTTTTCACTGCGTCTATGCCTCGCCTCAATACTACTCTGCATCGAGGAACTCCGAAATGAAGACTTTTAGAAATGCTGCTGACCTCAATTTAGTTTGGAAAATCTGGGTCTATGCTGTAGTTTGCGCGGGAAGAATCAGAGACTTTTGGAAACAATAACCCAGACGCTCACATTTGCATTTTAATAGGGTCTTATCTGTCACTATGTATCCTTTCCCTGATTTGTCTAGATATCCTCCAGAGGGATGCTCCGGTGTGATTTGTGGTTCAGGTTTGGGTAGGCCGGTCAAACAACGCAGCTGATCCAATGTAACCCTTGACTACGAGTGTGTAACTCAGCGTAGATATTGAATTACAGATATTCCTTAGCTTGTTGTCTGAACTTGCAGATCTTTGTTCTTACTTTCTGTCTTCTCTAACTCTACAACCAATCCTCTCCTTCACGTTTACACTGGCACATGCATGGCCAGCGTGAGTGGAGGCTCATGTGATAGGTTTTTTTTTCTGGAACGGTTCTAAAAGGCTTGCCTGCATGGAAGTTCTTTATGGATTTATTGCTCCCATATGCATTGTTTGTCTGTTCTGTGTCTGCTAACCTTTACCCTCACCCCACCTGGTCGAGGCAGATGGCTGTCCTCCCTTCGCCTGATTCTGCCAGCGTTTTTTTCCCCCCTCCTCGTAAGGGGGGGTTTTAAATTATTATTTTTTTTGGAAGGTCTTCAACTTTTGATGCAAAGTGCCTCATGATGACATATGTTGTGAATTGCTGCTATACAAATAAAACTGAATTGGTTTTAAAATGAAAGCACATTAGTGTGAAAACGTCAATGTTGAGAAGCCAATTAACATAATAAGCAAGCAATTAAAAAAAAACAAAACAAGAAAAACATGTTTAGATGTTAAATATAGGGATTCATACATAATAATACCAACAGTATAAGTGTGATGGTAAAGGTTGTGTCCCAGGGAGTTTCAATCCAGGGTGTAGGTAAGCAGGAATTATATGTGTGTGTGTGTGTGCATAAGTAAACGCTATGTGCAGAATGTTGGTGGTTTGGTTGGAGGTCAGTACAATGTGGGAGATGGTGAAGACATGCAGTTATAGGATCAGAATGTTCACGACTGGAGGCTGAATTTGCTTAAATTGCTCAGATTTGTTTTTTGCTTGTTGCATTTTTTTCTACTTGTTATGCATTTTTGTTTTTCTGTAGAGCAGTGTAGTTGTCTTGGTAGTTAAAGTGATGACGTATGTTGACCTGTGTGAAGCATCCTGGTATACTTAGAATCCAGCAGCTCTGCAGAAACAGTTTGTAAATGAGCGTTTCCCTGAAGTGCTGTATAGAAGGGCACGACCAGAAGGCATGGAGGTGATTATCAGTGTGCATAGTGCAGTGAGAGCAAATGTGTGAGTTCCTGAATCCCATAGTGAACAGTTTTTTGCTCATACCTGGGAGGACAGAAGAGAAAGGTCAGTGTCACACATGTGTGATGTTGTAATCGCCTAGCGCCACGTGCTTGGACTTGGAAGTCTTGCTGGGATTAAATGCTTTTTGCCTCAGATATGTTATGATGTTGCACTCTCGCACGGCCAGTCTCTGACAGTTAGCATTTTCATTTTTTTTTTTTTTTTTATCCCTCACATCCTTGGCTTTTTGCCAGCAAAACATACTACATGAACCCTCAAACCTCATGCAGGTTAAACAAGACAATTTTAGGGCTGACTGACTCCGAAGGACTCACTGCAAACATAGTCTGACTCACCGGATGTAGGATGTGGGCATAAGCCTTCTATTGGCTGCTCCTGTCAGTTATTTTTGGCACCGCTGATCTCAGAAGTACAAATTTCATTGATGAATGAGTAACTGCAAAATTTCTGCCTGGGATACTGAATGCATTTTGGCAAACATACATTTACTGAACTTCAAATTCTGTCATGTGCGCCACTAATTGTGGGCAAAAGATAATAGTTACTCTTGAAAATAGTTACTCTTTGAAGCCTGTGTCCAATAGCTATTGCACATCTTTTAGCTAACATGTGCAGCAATGATGTGTTTCCAATATGGATGTATTAAGGAGAATCAGATACTGGAGTACAAAATGGCGCCTGAGCCATTAAAATGAAAGCTGCTCATTGGCACATACACACACAAAAACAACATTCTCCAATCTTCCTTTGCTTATTAGCCGGGTACTTAGACAGCATATACGACCGAGATTCCTGTCAGCTGAGCTAACATACTTCCCTTTGACTCTTTCAGACTTTCCAAATGTTTTTGTACCAAATTTATTAAATTCTGATAATGAAAAGAGTAATTTACTTTTAGCCACTTCTTTTCCAGTGGTTTTGGGTGGGGAGGAATGCCTTGTGATGAATATGGATGTTGTTGTGATGCCGGTTTTAATTCCATACTGTTCCAAGTGACCACCTTGTTTTCCACAGCAGCAGTGCCAGAGGGTCATGGGTGCTGCTGTATTTAGGACTTACCACAGTGTCGAAATCTTGGACAAAACACAAACACACAGTTGACAAAATGAAACCTGTGTGGTTGTTATATTATTTGGGAAAGTTTGGTGTTTCTGTGTTACGTACCATTGGTCAGGATATTGAATACAGAAAAAAGCTTGTGGAACTATTGGCCTTCCAACTTGGCAGCTGTCTTACACTGGTTAACTGTCTCAAGTATATGGCTACTCCCACGTAACAATCCTAATTTCCATTAAAAATATATTAAATGGGCCCTAATTAAATTGCCTCCGAGGAGTCACCAGCTCTAGTTAATCACAGTCACTCAGGAGAAATGAAGAGGCTATGCTATTTGGAAAGTTTGATTAACACAGCTGATAATTCGAGTTGCTGTATGTATATTTTTGACCCAGCAGATTTAGTCATATTTCCAGAAGACCTATAATTTATTTATATAATATAAACGAATCAAAATGCATGTTTGTTTTGTGGTGTGTGTGTGACAAAGACACATGGGTTTCACTGATTCCATCATAGAAAATTTAGAGTTACAGGAGTCATTGGAAACTCAAAACTGTGTTCACCACCGTAATCTTTAATCAGGCTAATAGCGTATTTATGGCAACAGGGAATCTACCGATAAACAAAGATGGCGGAGGCGGATTTTATCATGACTGACCTCTGGTGGCACAAGTTCTGCTCGACAATACATCACGCTTATACAGTGTGTCATTTGGTATAACAACTTTGAATTTTAGTTTGTGCGACTAAATCGAATGCTGTAATTTTTTAATCTTTCACTGGAGAAGTTATTCCAGGGTTGTTGAAGTTTTTTTTTTATTCCAGCTACAAGAAGTCTGTAGAGACTGAGCGCTGTTGGACAGCAACATAAAACCCACACCTACTCTTACCACATTTTCCAATTTTCATCCAGTCATTTGATTCCTCAGTACTTTCCCTCCCACTGCATTAGTTAAAATGACAGATTTACTTTCTCCTCAGCCGGCCATTAACCCGTTCACCCAACACTGTCTTGTTTGTATGCGTGAGACGATGGGCGAAATGGATTTCTAGGATTACACCAAATGGCTGCTAACACAATCAGGCCACAGAACTAGTTACAGAAATGTGATTGAATCCAATTGGGGTGACAACAAAATCTCATCAACAGCTCCCGAATCGGTCGCCATGCTTGGGGAACCACCAGAGATGTGTGTTGCAATTTCATTTTGTTGAAAAAAAAAATCGAATATACGTGCCGCTCCGCCCCCTCCCCAACAAAAAACAAAAAAAACCTCCGACTGCAGCCTCTGCCTGTTAATCAGCATTATTCTCTCCCTGCTTCATCCTTGACAGCCTCAGTGCAGCGGGGTCTAAATGATTATTTATTTGACTGAGAGAGAGACAGATTACTTTGTGATGCTTAATTAATCACCCGTCTTAAATTTTTAAAAGTTGTGCCGACTGTACTGCCAGCCCCTCTCACAAGAGCTGAACAAAGATTTGCCGTGGCCTTGTAGTAACCAGAGATAGAGAAAGTGAGAGGGCACGCACACATGCAGAAGGGACCTATTACTTCTGTTTCCATGGTAACAGCTGCTTGGTTGCCTTGTCGCCATAGGAGCCAGGTTTCCCTAGGAGATGAATCTGGTGTGTGTCTGTGCGTGTGTGTGTGTGGAAATAGCATTTTGCCAAGGCCGTCCCACAGAGGCCTGGATTTCAGCCCTCGAGGGTTGGATAGAAAATAGGTGTGGTCTGCTGAAACGCCACTGATGCGAAAAGCTTATTCCTCCCCTTATGCGGGCATAAAGACGCATGGCTCCTCCTCCTACTCAGCAGGGAGGAGGACAGACTGGGAGCATCTCTCGCAGCTTAGTTGTTGTTGGTTTTTATGTGACTGACATTTTTTCTTTTTGATCCCTTTGTGTTATGAAACAAGAATGCAGATCTTCATCATTCAGCGTGTCAATAAACACTGTATGTCTTCAGCATCATTGACATCCCATTACTGTTTTACAAATCTATTTCATGCTTTGTGCATTTGTGCCACCTCATGCTGTATGATGGTGTGGATACTGAAAGGAAATATAAGAAGGGGAGAGAAGGGTAGGACATGCAACAAAGGTTTGATGTAGGAATCAAATTTAGAAGAAGTACTGGTCAGAAGTCTTCATGTTTATTAAGCTGCATTATTGGGCTCAATCCTGACCTTTTTGTCCGTCGCAGCATTTGATTTTCATACTAAACCTGTACCTTTCTGTCTTCCCACTTGCTGAGTGTTCCTATATGTTTTTTTTTCTTCCTGTATGCATGTGTGCATGACAGAAATTTGCCAAGGGCCAGACCCTGCTGGACATGGTGTGTGGCCATCTGAACCTGCTGGAGAGGGACTACTTTGGCCTGACTTTCCAGGACACGGATAATGCCAAGGTCAGACACACAAAAGCATAGACACACACATGCAAACAGCTTATTTGGGGACATTTATTTATGCACTTTTATACAGTCTAAGATGTGCAACTGAAACCGCGGAGCTGTTGCCAAGTGCAGTTGTAATTAAACCAAACATAGGACACCAATATGGTCTAAACATAGAAACTGGCCTGAATCAGCTGGTGTGACTTATCTCCAAATGTGTCCTCTGACAGACTTTACACATAATATTTGTCACACACATATGTTCACAACACTGAGTGTAAGTATTATTAGATATAAAGTGCGTTTCTGATCTGCCCAAGGTTTCGCTATCCTTCCAAGCTGACATATGGAGCTTTAAACCAAAGGTCATTAAGATTTCATGTCATTACACTGATCTTGTTACCACAGTGACCATTAATAATATATAGGCTTAATTTGGGTGCTTTGGTGAATAGCTTTGCATCATTCAAAGCCAAATATATGTTGACATTGATTTTTTTTTGTTTGTTTGTAGCTGCTTTTAATAGATTTCAGCAGGACTCTGTCAAAGTTTTCAGATTATATCTCAAGCAGCCCATTTAACCGGATTGTTTCCTCAGGTGTTATAAAACAGCGAGACCCTGTTTGCCCTTTTAACTTTCCTTAACCACTTATTCTCTGAGAGTGGCATACATGGTCTTTAACATTTTAAAATGTGACCAGACGGTATGGCCTTTTAAAAACGGGTGCATAAGGTCTACAGTGCACCATCATCGCTCCAGTGACATTAAGCAGACAGAGCTCCATTCAGCTGGCATTTATACCCCCAATATTGATGCTTTCAGTGTTTATAGAAGACTTCATCAAGTTCCTGGTAGCATGAATATATTAGGCTTTCAACTAGGGAGTAGATTTAAAAAGGGAAGAGGAGCCGGAGAGGTACAGTGGGCTACTTAAAAAGGCTCCGAAAAAAAAATGTGAATATGGATGATTTTGCTGAGGTTGAATTTCTCAAAGGGGATTGTCTCTTTCTTTCCTTATCAGAACTGGTTGGATCCCTCCAAAGAGATTAAGAAGCAAATTCGTGGTAAGTGCAGTACACACACAGACACACAGACACACACACAGACACACACACAGACACACACACACACATACCGCACACACACAGTCTAGCAAATCCGTGCACATGCAGTATTTTAATGACCAGACATCCTTCACAAAACAACCTTGCTGGTGCTTTGTCCACAGTTGGCTCCTGGAATTTGGGCTTTTCTGTCAAGTTCTACCCTCCAGATCCATCTGTGCTCATTGAAGACATCACCAGGTAGGTCTGAAAGCAGTTTTTTTTTAAGTCAAGGTTTGACATAAAAAAAATCATTTGTTTTGGTTGTCCGGAGCTTTTAGGTAGACTTGTCATGAAAATGCCTTTGTTTTGGCAGGAGTTTTAGAAAGGACGGAGCAGCTTAGAGAGAGTATCCTACTGAGCAAGTTAAATCCAATAAAGACAAGGAAATGGCTTTAGAAGTCTTTGAAACTGTCATAACAGAAAAACGTCACATATTACCAAAGTAATTGCCAGTCATATGAATAGAAGCATATACAAACTTTAGATGCAAGTAAATCTATCTTACTTTAAGCAGTGCAGGTTCTTGTTAAGAGGTTGGGTCAGCACCTTGGGCTCTTTGTTGTGTTCCTCGAGCTGTTCTTGAGCAGTTTTTGTGGTGTAATATTGTGCATTACTCTGCTGGGGGAGGCTGCTGTGGCCAGGGATTGCTGTTGCCACATGTTGGTCTGCTTAACCTGGATCAATGCTCAGATGGTACATGTCAAGGTACCATCCACATGAGTCTGAATGTCTGCATGTAGGATGCAGGTATAAGCCACCGCTCATTTACGACACCATTCTCTACCTTCTGCAATGTGCGTATTACCTTTTTCTTTGTAACTAATTTGTGTTCCCTCACTCCCATAATTTTTGGACTATTGAGCACCTGAATATAAGCCGCACCCACTAACTTTAAAACTGTACATATATAAGCCGCACTTGTCCATAAGCCACAAGTGTCCACGTTGTAACATGAGATATTTACACAGGAAGATTTTTCTTTAAACTTTTAAATAAATACATACCATTAACACGAACAAATACGTACCGTAAATGTTTTTTTCCGAACAGTACCTGTAACACGGCTGGTTAAATAAATTAAAAATGCAGTAGCCTACTAGGAAAAGTCATCGATCGCTATCTTCATCTTCCTCCTGCTCACTAAAACCAATAAAGTCGTCTTCTTCAGTGTCAGAATTGAACAGCCTCAGAGTTACTTGGTCACACACTTCCTCAGTCTCTCTTTCGCTGTCGCTCCTTATGTCACTTTTTTCTTGAGGCGAATTCGTAAATCTCGTAAAAATCTATAAATTAGCCGCATCATTGTTTAAGTGGCAGAGTTCAAAGCGTGTGAAAAAAGTAGCGGCCTACAGTCCGGACATTAATTTGAGGGCACAATAAGGCAGCATCCTTTGCTTAGCACCGCCCACAGTGATTTGTGATTGGTTCAATGATACACAAACAAGTCAGAAGGTTTTTATTTGTCCTGTAACAAAATGATAACGTGGGGTAGCCAGACCGTTATATTCTGCAGAATGGGCTGGCAAAGTGAGACTACATCCACATGAATATTAGGACTCAAAGGTTTTCTAGTATTGCATTGGAACACGACGATCAGTATCATACACTTGACCAGTCCGGGGTTTTAATGTTGTGGCTGATTGGCGCCTACTTAACTTGACTAGGCGGCTGCTGATGGCGGCTCTGATCTGCAACTGATTGTAGATAAGCTAAATCACTGCAACAAATTGGAAATCAGCAATCACAAAACAGGCACAGTCATACCAGCACTTAGTGATAATGCTCTAAAAAATGAATTCTAGGAGTACATAAAAGATGGAAAATTGCTCGGTCACATCTCTTACAAAACGATTACTGTTTCAGGAAAATTGTCGCTGCTGAGGAAATGTGCCATGAGAATGTTTAACCGAACTGAACAAGGCTTAGATTATATTTCTGTTTAACTACTTTCTGAATTTGTGTAAGTACTTGTTTTGACCTGTTACAATATAAACCATCATGGTGTTTTGTAGTCTCTTTTGAGCTCATCTATCAGCAGAATTTGCTTTTGAAACAATTAAATACGCCAGTGTCACTATGATCAGCGCACAGCGGTAGGCTAATATGCAAAGTGGTTGTTATGCCTACTTGACTGGTGTCTTCGGCTTCAGTTGATTGAAATGCACAGCAAGAAGTTAAAACCGCTTCAACGTTTTGTTCCAAATAAAAAATGTTTTTGTTGCTGTTGACTCAATTGTAAAAGTGAATCTAAAAAACACCCACAAAAAAAGCCCCTCTTCACGCAAAAACATGTTTTGATCATTGTTACTTCTCTTGGATGTTTAATCTTAATTACAGAGAATGATGTATGTTCAGAGTTTGTTTCTAGAAGACTGTTTTTTTTCATTGAGTGTTCTGTTGATGGTGAGGTTTGCAGATTATTGTAAATGCATGTCAATACTTTTTAAGAGCCACATTAGAAATGACACCACAGCTTTGCTGGACTTGCAATAGGATTCTGAGAGACTAATATCTAAAAACATGCATAAATAGCATTTGTAATTTGAGTCAGTATGAGTCAACTATCTTTTTGATACCGCCTATTTGATACTGTAGGACAAACAAAGGTGTACTTTATATAGATGAGCTCAGAGATTTCTGAGGCTGTACTTACACTGCAGGACTAGACGTGAACATCAGTGTGTTAACATGCTCACGATGGTAATTCTAATGTGCTGATGTTTTGCAGGTTCAATGTTTACCTTGTTTGCCATCCTTGTTTAGTCTGGCAACATGCTGGTAATTGCTGATTAACGTGTCATCCTTAGAGCCACAAGCTGTTAGCATTGTTCAAATCTTGACTCCACTATCAAAGGACTGAGAATCCGATTCCAACACTTGCTTCTATCAGTGGTTTTCTCAAACTTCACTCTCGAAGGCAAGTGTTAAGAGCCTCCTACGTTTTTTTTAGGTACTACTTGTGCCTGCAGCTGAGGGACGACATCCTGTCCGGTCGCCTCCCGTGCTCGTTTGTCACCCACGCCCTGCTGGGCTCCTACACTGTCCAGGCTGAACTGGGAGACTATGAGCCTGAAGAACACGGTCCAGACTACGTCAGTGATTTCCACTTTGCCCCCAACCAGACACGTGAGCTGGAGGAGAGAGTGATGGAGCTGCACCGTAATTATAGGTCAGCGAAAATTTGACTTCACAATTGAATGCCACAGGGATGCTGTTGCTTTTGATCTGTGGATTGAGTACAAAGAAATGATGGGAAATGAAGAATCCTTTGTGGCATTTGCACTGCAGGGGGATGAGTCCGGCAGAAGCAGAGGTAAACTTTTTAGAAAATGCCAAGAAGCTCTCGATGTATGGCGTGGACCTGCATCACGCTAAGGTACACAGATAATGCTTCGATTCTGTCAGATTTTTCATCTGAAAATGTATTTTTTGAGGTTCTTTCATACTCTGTGCCTGTGTTAACTAGGATTCAGAGGGAATCGACATAATGCTTGGTGTAAGTGCCAACGGTCTGCTCATCTACCGAGACCGTCTCAGGATCAATCGGTTCGCCTGGCCAAAAATCCTCAAGATTTCCTATAAAAGAAGCAACTTCTACATCAAGATCCGCCCTGGAGAGGTAAATAAAACTATCATTATCTTACCTGTAGCATTTTAGGTGGGCTCAGTAGGGCTATTACTGCATGCACAACCACACCGGCGCAGCACATAGTCACTCTGGCAAAGCTGAGTCAAGTGGAATAAAGGATCATTTGGTAAAGAGCCAACTTTACATTTCTATTTCATGGTTTCACAGTTGTTAAAATTACATCATCGCCTCTCTTGACTCGTCCCAAGCAGCATAAATAGTCATTTCATGGTTTGATAAAAGTGTTACTTCTGAGATTTATCTGCTGCAAACCATGTGACAACTGCCAAGACATTTCAGACATTATTTATAGCCCTCAGAGATACCGTTCTTAAAGATTAGGCTGATAGGTCATGTTTTTTATTCTTGTCCTCCTTCTCTCTTTCTCTGTGGCGTCTTTAAAGTCTGATTAGCCACTCGTGTGGATTTGCATTTTCATCAAGGACTTTGCTTGCAAGCGTTAGAGCCACATTATGCTCACGCTGGTTTTCAACTCGCTGAAATTATTATGATTTTACTTCATTCTTTGGCCTTTAGGGTATCTGCAGCATGTTTTCTATCCACTGTTAAACTGACATTGACATCTTCATAGTGAAAACCAAGGCCTTTCTGCGCATATACTTTGTTCTGCACATCTATCCTCTTAAGTCAGCTGTCACTTCAAATTTGCCTGGAGGTTCATCATTGTGTTTTAAAGCCCTTTTTATTCTAAACCGTCCCCAAAGAATTTTTTGTGTGGAACAGAAAGTTTGGTTCCTTTTGCGAATGGACTACTCCTAATGTTTAAAGACCTGTTATATTGCTAATAACCTATTGATTTGAAAGCATTTTCTTTTGTTCACTCTGCTGAACATCTGATGGAGTGAGCGCATGAACAACTAATTTATAGGTCGGTTAGAGATGGAAAATCCACCTGACATGGCAGCGGGAGACGCGAGAATATATTTCTGCCAGTAAACAGAAAAACATTGATTTTTCCATTGCTGCGGAGTAAACACAATTCACCCTGCCACCATTCCTCCATCTTCCTCCGCACTTGCTTCCTTCACTCTCTTTTTCTTCTTCACCCCCTCCGATTCCTTGTCCTCCACCACCTCCACTCCTTTTCCTCACCACTCAGTATGAACAGTTTGAGAGCACCATAGGCTTCAAGCTGCCCAACCACAGGGCCTCGAAGCGATTGTGGAAGGTCTGCATTGAGCACCACACCTTCTTCAGGTAGGACTTGGCACTCACAGGTACACAGACTGAGCCACTATCTGTGCACTGCAGTCATTAGACCCTGCATGAACTGCTGAACTTGTGCTTGTGTGTTGGTCCCTAAATGTTTCACAGTAACACTTTTCTTGAAGATTCCATAGTTCTGTACAATTTATTTGAAAGGAACTGATAGTTTTGCAGATTTTATGAGTAAAACGAAGTGAATGCAAACCCTGCAGCAAATACACATACAAATGTTTGTAGCTGTAAATTCATAGGTTGACCATGGGTCAATAGGTCATTTGATACTAGCTTTACTATGTAAAGTGGGGACGATGACCAGATGTATAATCTTCTTAGTCAACTCATATAAAATGATGGTTCCACCTATGTGAAGCTGCAGACAGGACATGGTTAGCTTAGCTT